TATTAAATGATTCGTCTTTATATCATATACAGGGATGGAAAGAAAGTCAGTAGTTTTCAGATTTTTTTGAGACACCCAGTGGAGTGAACCACTGAAAATTCAGAACAATAATATTGAAAATATCAAAGTCAATAAAAAATGGAAATGTTCGGAAAAGATCAGGCTACAATTTGGTGTTGAAAACTGTTCTGAATTTCCAGTGGTTCACTCCACAGGGTGTCTCAAAAAACTCTGAAAAGTACTGACTTTCTTTCCATCCCTGTATATGATATAAAGACGAATCATTTAATAACGGTAATACGTCAGATGTATTCCTGAAGAATCAAGCTACAATCTGTGAAAAATTCATTGAATTCGAGCGGACGGTTCAAGAGAAAATTGATGTCAAACTTAGTGTAAATTTTGTCGGTTCCCCTAATTTTGCCGGTGTGTGTATATCCTATTCACAATACGTAGTCCAAAGATAAAGGTAAATTTATCACCTTTCCCTATCAAATAGCACTGAAAGGTGATACATTTTACCTTTACCTTTGGACATCGGATTGTGAATAGATAATAAATATGTGTAAACATCTCGTTCAATATAATAATACTAAGGGCGTACTAAGGTACTAACAATCGTAAACTAACAGGATTGCTCATCTTCATAAGGCGTACGTTCGCCAATTCTCGATTCGGCAGAGTCTGCGAATGACGTTAGCACTATTCAGCAGCTAATAGTAGTGACGTCACCCGCAGGCCTCGATGGAATGTTTGCGATTCAGACTGTGCTTGTAAGTTAATTTTGTCCGTTCCCCTAATTTTGCCGGTGTGTGTAGAACAAGTAGATTCGCTAATTTTTTATTGATTTTTTACCAACAATCGTAAACTAACAGCAACTAATAGTAGTGACGTCACCCGCAGGCCTCTATGGAATGTTTGCGATTCAGGGCTGTGCCTGTAAGTTAATTTTTTCGTCAATTTCAAATGCAGTAAAGGTGATTTTAAGAAGATTTTAACGATTAGAAATTCGTTTTTTTTTTACCTATAAAACTCGGATAATGCATTTTACGTCCAGAGTTGAGGTCTGCGGCTAAAATGGAAAACACTTTCAGTTATAGGATTTTTACGCTATATTTAGGATGACGTCACATTTAGTAAATTTCTATTGCCAACCTAACAATACTAAAAGTACTTTTTATCGTATTTAAAGTGGGGAAATTTCAGCTGTTTTTGATTGGCAACGACGCGCGATGTTGCATGACTTGTATAAACATTTTCATTTCGTTATTTGTAGCTGTTGTCAGAATTATTGACACATGATATTCTGGTAAATTATAAGAAAAAAAATAGGCATTGACAACATTGTCTGTCCTTGTTCGATGACGTCATCCTAAATATAACATAAAAAACCTATACGCGCCTATTCTTTCCGAAAAGTGTTTGTTGCACCTGAAGCGCTCAAGCTCAAACACACCTCAAATGCATAAAAGCCAGCGCATCTGTTCCTTTCAAATCGGGGTCGAACACTGGAGCGAGTAGCTCTAGTGTTCTAAACTCTTAGGAATACAACTGTGTTTTTGAATTTTTACTATTTTCCAACATTTGCTACGTTCCTCTAACAATTTTTTTGTTACCTGATTTTCCTAACAAGTGTGCAAAGTGATACTTTCCTGCACGAAAAAGGAGTTAGGGTGGATTTTCATGCATCCGTTTTTCCGACGAAAGATGCCCGAAAAACATTCTATTCTGACATAATCGTATAAAAATATGTCAAAATAGAAGATTTTTCGGGCATATTTTGTCGGAAAACGGATGCATGAAAAGTAAGCTTTATAGTTAGGGAGACGACCGCATTTTTCCTACCCCGATCGAGTTATGTGTCGACACTATTATCAATATATGTATAGTATTATGTGCATCTATTAACCGGTATTCCTGCCTGAAAGCAAATGCTGCCGGAAATATCTTTTAACAAATTATTAACAAATTGAAAAAAAACGTAACACTACCCCCATCGAGTTATGCCCTAAGTAGGGTATCAGATTGAAGGTGTCGATGTCCCCTATCTAAAAAGTCGATCCTGCCTCGTGCGAACTTGCCGGAAAAGGGTGGCAGGGCAGCTTATTGGGGCAAGGGCCCACGGTCTCTGCTTTGACACCTACAGAGATGACACCTATCAAGTTTTACCCTGAATGATGTGTCAAATTAAAGGTGTTAATGAGTTGATTTAAGGTCTCTTCGCACAGAAATCCCAAACCAGAAGGAGTGAATTTCATTGGTTGAAACTAGTTTCCTGACTGTTTCCAACCAATGAAATTCGCTCTGACTGGTTTGTGATTTCTGTGCGAACAGACCTTAAATCAACTTATTGACACCTCTAATTTGACACATCATTTAGTGCAAAGCTTGATAGGTGTCAAAGTAGAGACCGTGGGCCCTTGCCCCAATAAGCTGTCCTGCCACCCTTTTCCGGCAAGTTCTCACGAGGCAGGATCGACTTTTTAGATAAGGGACATCGAGACCTTCAATCTGATACCCTACTTAGGGCATAACTCGATGGGGGTAGTGTTACGTTTTTTTCAATTTGTTAATAATTTGTTAAAAGATATTTCCGGCAGCATTTGCTCTCAGGCAGGAATACAGGTTAATAGATGCACATAATACTATATATTGATAATAGTGTCGACACATAACTCGATCGGGGTAGGAAAAATGCGGTCGTCTCCCAGACTATTAGACGAACGACGCGAAGCGGAGTTCGGATAAGCTTTGAGTAGGTATCTTGAAAAAGTAGACTTTAATTTGTTAAAATAGTGAAACAACACCGCAAAATCTCCAAAAATCGTTTAAAATCTATTCGAATTCCTCTAAATGTCTTTTAAATTAAATCCCCAAAAACCTTTTTCTTCTGAAATTTCTAGAATATTTTCATGAAAGTCTCAAAAATTCTACAAATTCCTAGTAGTACAGGGTGTTCCAATTTGGACACCTTTGACAGGAAACGTCATGTTTACTAAGCGCTAAATTCAACTAAAACCCTTCATTTTGGATATTAGTTTATCCAGAAACCATTAAAACAATGAAAAATCGAGTATAAATACGGTACCTAATTATGCGCAAATAGATCTCCCCCGCTCCAATCTACTCCAGAACTGATATTGGAACGTAGCCATCGAAGCTACTCCAGTGGCGGGTATTAATTTTTCATAAGCCTTTGGCTTTGTTTCTGTTTTTTGATATTATTTCTTTATTAGCTAATTCTGGATTAATTCCATTTCCACATTTAAGGATGCTTCATCTTTCTTGCTTGAAGCACTAAGATTTCTTATTTTATCAAGATTAAATTTTTTTCCTAAAAAATATGATTCACCTTATTTCTCATCAATTTTTTGTCTCAATTTTTATTTTTTTTTTTCTATTCCAGACTCTGAAAGTTTCTTAATTTTTTTGGTTTAGAAAAAAAAAATTGAAATTCAGAGGTTAACTGGCCTTAATTTATCCCTAATTAAGTTATTAGTCGTCAAAGCCAAATGCTTTTACTCTACCTACGTCTCCTTTTGCTGCATTAAAGCTGAATATGTTCATCTCTAAAAACTTGAGCAAAAGCATATGCTTATGTTTTATTTCGAATTCGAATTTATTTCGAGCTTGGCATATCCGAAACTATTCAAGCTGCATTGAAACTAACAAAGAAATTTGTAGAGAATTTATTTGCCCTCAGTAAAAGCCTAATTTTGTCAAGATCAGATTTAAATTAACGAAATTGAGAGACCAAATGTGCGACCATGTATATTTTAAGAAAAAAACAAATTTCTAAAAAATTACGTTGGAGGAGGTTTTATTTTTCTTCTGAGTAAAATGGTGGAGGTCCAGTATGCTTACAAATATACAATGATTTCCAATTTGGCAATCACTGATTAATGAATCTCATGTTTTCACTCGACAAACTTATTTCTGATTCGTCTGCTTCTCGCCCTGCCTAGTATTTAATCTACTTTCCCTTTTCAAGTTCTTATCGCGTTGGATTCCCGACTTTTTCTTTTGTGTCTTTCTTAGGGACATTCCCATAGCTCTTAATACTTGCTGGAAAAACTTTCCTGCGTCTCTGAAAAGAACCAAATTAAAGTTGAGCCCTGAATAATCTCTTAACTGTAGCGAATCGCATTTGCTAAACCTGGATGTGAGGAAATTCTGTGTCTTCTTTTGGCAAGTCCGATTCGAGAGAAATTTCAAGATTCATGTTTTCATTTTTATGATCTACAACATTGTCATACGTTAGATCTGTTCTCACAGAAATCACAAACCAGTCAGAGCGAATTTCATTGGTTGAAAATAGTCAGAAAACTGGTGATTGGCGATTTGCACCAATCAAAAACGCTCTAACTGGTTTGGGATTTCTGTATGAACAGACCTCATCTTCATCTCGTTCTTCTTCTTCTTCAAGTTCTAAACTCTCCATAGTCTCGGGTTCAGTTATTGGCCCAGTTATTGGGAAACTCGTTGGGATATAAAATTCATTTCAAATTGTCTAGTACTCAAATTTTTATTAGGATTCGGAGTTTCAACATTAAAATTTAGAAGGGTTGTTTTTTTTGGTATGGTACCTATGTATGTATGTTTAGAGAGTTACATTTTGATTAAATTCTTAATATGCAAATAGTGAATTACATATTATTAAAATAGTAAATAAAAATTATATCTTCCCAACCCTGGTTTTTCGGTTTTTCTCATTCACGAATGTGATGATTGATTTCCCTGAGTCAAAGACGACCTCCTACCAGTTCGACTCGAAAAATACTAAGAATTTCACCTCTTTTTGTATAAAAAGAGTTTCAAATTTTCTCAAATATTGCACCAGCAGAGTTTATGTTAAACCAAAACCATTCTAAAACAGGGTGTAAAATATAGAAATAATTTGAGATGCATGCCTAAACACAATACAAGATTTTTCTTTGATACTGTTATTATTTTATTCGGGAATCATGTCTAAGTCTAACACTTTTTTCTTATTGTTCCAGACTGATACTGTAAGACACCTTTTTGCCAGAGCCTTATGCTTAATTATCTTACCAATATTCCTTTACATATGTTTCTTTTACATCCATCTGAAAGTTCTGAACAGAAGGTAAGATACTATTTGCAACATTTCACAAAATTTATAAAGGCTGTTATTTTTTTTCTCAGTGGAAACGGAGATGGATTTTACAGCTCAGCTTTTCAATCGCAACTTATCGGAAACAGTTTATACAATGCAAGCATGCCTCACCAAGTAGCATATGGTGCAATAGTTACTTTGAAAAATCACAGGACAGGAGGAGGATATTTACATTCGCATTTCCACTTGTATCCTGAAGGAATGGGCGCTAGGCAGCAACAGGTAACTTTTAATTTTTGAATCTCAAGCTCATTATGAGAATATTATTTTTGATATAGATAACCACATATACCCACAAAGATGACAACAATAAGTGGCTAATTAAAAAATACAATTTGGAAGAAACTAATACCATTGAAATAGTTCATAGTGGTGATTTGGTGAGACTAGAACACATAGCGACAAAAAGAAACTTGCACTCTCATAAAGAACAAGCTCCTGTAACGAAAAAACACTACCAAGTCACGGGCTATGGCGAAAATGGCACTGGAGATGCAAATGATGTATGGAGAATCCTAATCGAAGGATCCAAAGACAGATCAGAAATCACTGCTGTGACTAGCAAATTGAAATTCGTCCATTATTTACAATCGTGTGTTTTAACTACAAGTGGCAAACAATTACCTAAATGGGCCTACGAACAACAAGAAGTTTCTTGCAATCCTAATTTGAGAGATCCACATGCTTTGTGGAATGTTGAAGAGAATATTTTTGAAAAATGTTGGTAGATTTTTTTTTTATGAAAATCTTTTAATAATATGAATCTTTTAGTGCCAAATGTAAACTTTGAAGTTTACGCTCCGAGTTTTTTTGAAAGATTTCTAGAGTCTCACGCTGTTATGTTCCAAGGTAATGCTGGATTAAAGCCTAAAGAAGGAGAAATTACTTCAAGACCCTGGCAATGGCCAATAAATTATAGAGTATGTGTTTCAAATGTTAATGAAGGTATAATTATGGTTAACATTTTTAGGGGCAATTTTTCTCAGGTTCTCAATACAGAATCTACCTGTTAGGAAATCCAATTATATGGTGGAGTAATTTAGTTTTTATTTTGTTATTCCTAGGAATGTTCCTTATAAATGCAATCAAGCTACAAAGAGGATACATCAAGTCTTTTTCAGGTAATAATTTGCACATTTAAATGGACTTATTTTAAAATAACTTTTATTTTCAGAACCTCAAAAACAAAAGCTGAAAGCATGTGCTTGGTTATTTATTGGTTGGTTACTGCATTACGTACCTTTTTGGGCCATGGGACGTGTACTGTATTTTCATCATTATTTTCCGGCTCTGCTTTTCAGTTCCATGATAACAGGTGATGATAATTTCTTTATGTGGAATAATGCAAATTTTACCTAGGTAGGTCAAAAATGACCCCTATGAGGATTTCCAAGAAAATACATATTATAATTAAGAAATTAAGATATTTCTAAATTTAAATACTTCACTACCTGGAAAATGCATTTTTACCTGAAGTTAACATCCATAAAATAGAAATTACAAACTGAAAAATAACATACATACTATAGAAGATGAAGAATAGATACTTTGTTATTTTGAAAGATCCTCTGTATCATGTTGCTTATTTGGTTTTCATTTTCTTCCAGGTATTATGATTGATTACTTGTTAGAAGAAATATCCAAATTCCGGAACAACAGTATGTCCAAAACCATTTACCATACCTTATTTGGTTTGATATTGTCAGTATTTTGCTACAGTTTTTACTTATTTGCGCCTCTGGCTTATGGTATGAGTGGACCTTCAGCAAATGAACCCAATTCGACTATGCATGGATTGAAGTGGTTTGATACTTGGGAATTTTAGAATCATTGTAATTTTCGAGAAACATCTTATGCTTATTTTTACGTTGCAAAACAAATCCGTCCAATTAGACTATAAGATAAATTTCTATTTTTGTATTATTTATTTACGTTGACTGAGTTTTGATATGAAGTTTTATACTGTAAAAGTTTAAGTTAATTTTTAATAGAAAGGATAACTTAAACAACTGTTTTTTATTAATAGTACCGGGTCCTTGGATAACCTGGCACATTTTGCTGGTAAGTATCTTTAAAACGAGGAAAGATAACGAAATGCAGTTTGTTCTGGGAGAATGAAGATTTTTTAAAAAAGTGTTTTCAACGTCATGGGACACCCTGTATTTTCTCAGAAATTCAAAATTGAAAATCATCAACATTTTAAATTTTCAGAAACGTTTTTGATTGGTTTAAATTGAAAAAACATTACTAACAGCCAAATTATGGACGTCTCTGGCAAATTTAACCTGCTGATGAAACCGTAAATTTCATGCAATTTTAGTCGGTCCATAATTTGGTCCTAATAAAAAGGGTTTTTGGATTTGGTAAATAAGGCGACATTCATGTTTTTCCTTCTATTCCAGGCTTTCAAATTTTCTTTATTTCGGCAAATGCAAGAGCCAGGAATAGACAAAAATTGAAAAAGATAATCGATAAAAATTGAAAAAAAACTGGTAGTAGACAAGTAGATACAAAGTATTTTATTTTTTGGCCAAACTCTTGAGTTTCCTCTATTTAGACAAAAATTTACAAGAAAACGGAAACTCAAGAGATGGAAAATTGAGTTGCAAGTTTTTCAATGGTACCTATATCTTACAAAACTGATCGGCTTTACATTCTTGAATCCACATAAAAATTTCAATTAGACATTTTCTCAAAAAAAAAAGTGTAATTTCTGGAAATTCAAAGAACCAGCTCATGGATATCTTGAATAGTCTAGATACAAGAGACCCATGAAAAACAAATTGAAATAATCAACCATGATATGCAATGCTTGTATGCATGATAAGATCCGTATTATTTTTGTATTTATAACAAACATGATTTCGTATCTTCTAAAAACTACTAAATCAAGAATTACTTAAATTATTTGTCTGAAATTCTTCAAATATCACCTCTTGATTATTCTAGGAACCTACATAATATTATAATTAGCTCTGTATTTCTTGAAAGGGTGTAAAATTCCCAGTGTTAACATTGTTCATAAAATCAAAGGGTATTAGTTACTTGATTGCAATAAAAGGTAGGTACCAGGAAGCGTCAATAAAGGCAAAATTTGCAGAATTGAAATTGACTTAAGATGAGACTGATTTCTCCCCCCCTACTTACCGACTTGACTTAAAAGTACCCTACAATTTACAGGTACCAAGAGGCTGTCTTTGATTGGCAAAATTTTGTAGAAAGAGTTATCAGTTCTTCTGATACAGTTGAAGAGTGAAGTCACTTTTGCAACCGTATTTAACAGTGGTCCAAGAAAAAAATATTTGTGTTTAGTTTTAAAGAAGTTATGGAGTCTTCTTATTGCGCTTTGGTAAGTTTCTGTTATTTAATTATTTTATACATTTTTGCCTTGCAAACAAAAAATTTCATTTTCGTTCGTTTTTATTTTTTCCCAAACTTATTTGAAGGGATACCTACTTCAAAATAAATCAAACTTCATCGTTGCCACTTTTTCTCCTCTACAATATGACATTATCTTTGAAATCCGACGTTTCGTCTTGGGCCACCTTTTCTTGAAACCTTGTGAGAAAAAAAATTTATCTTTGGATTTTCAGTTTTGAGTTGATACAGAGTGTCATTTTTTATGACCAATCAAGTCAATTATACACCATTTCAACCTCAATTTCGGAAAATGTAACTTTTTTTTAGGAAAATATAAAGTCATTTGCGGAAAAAGTAAAGTTAATTTCGGAAACAGTAAATTCAAATTCGGAAGAAGTAATAAGTAAACATAGTTACATATCTACTTAGAAAATCAAACCGACATCGACATCGCTATTAGACGAATTAATGCTGGAATTTGGGTCCAATCATGTAACCATATCCGGAGGCATTATCCTGCAGTTATGAGACGTGAATGATTTCAATCCGGGAGCATAATATTTAGGAGTATATGTAATTTTTCTAATATTTGTGTATGATTTTTAATATGTAATGTTATTTTTCTATGTAAATAACTAATTTTTTGTTTAAATAATACTTATCACTTTTTCCGAATTTGAATTAACCATTTCCGAAATTAAATTTGCTTTTTGCGAAATTAACTTTACTTTCTCTGAAATTAATTAATTTGACTCTTTCGGAAAATGACTTTAAAATTTTCCTAAATAAAAGTTACTTTTTCCGAAATTGAGGTTGAAATGGTGTAGAAATTGCATTGGCAAGCCTTGGGTGCGTTTACATCGGAACATCAAAAATTTACTTATATATTTTCAAAAAAATTTTTGAAGAGATTACATTTTCAGTTTAAAGGAGCGTTGAGCAACAGTGGAAATTTTTGTTTAATTAAAATTGTTCAACTTTGCTGCTCAATTGTTTCGAAGGTATTCGAGCTATCAAACTCAATTTAGCACGGATTCATAGAGAATTTAATGCTCTTTTCAATGGTGTAAAATTTATTTGGATTTGCTTAATTTGAATGGAAATATTGGTGGATTTTCTTGACCTTGTCAGGATTTTTTTTAATTGATATTTTCTTTAGGATTTTCTTTTTTGATTTTTTCTGTTTGAAATGGTCATTTGAAAATTATTTTTTGACTAATTTAGACGATTTTTTCAAAGAGTAATCACCCCCTTTGGATTCTTATTTCGAAATCTTTAAGCTTCAATATCTTGAAATCCGTGAGAGATCAAGATTTTCAGGAATTTGCATAATTTTGTCTCAATTTAATCGACCCTTATAGTTACTGAGATCTGAGATCCCCATACTTGCTCGCGAATTTCGAACACCCTGTATAGACAATAAAAGTTTCAATTCGGTCAGAATATGGATTATTTCAAACAGTGATTCCATTTATTCAATAACTAGAGGAAATCAACTTAGTGCCACTTTTAGGAAAAACTACACTTTTTGATACAATTTATTTTGAATTTTTTGGTCACCGAGCACTGCCACAAGTCTACTCCTGTAGAAAATAGGCCTCAAAGTTACAGTAGTTTCTAATCCCATATATATTCATTCATTAATCATTTCCCTCTTAATTTGAAAATTGAAATACGATGACAATTTACAATCTATTATAGCTGGTTTAAAATAAACAGTCAGAGCTTTTTCGATTTCATCAAATGCAAATTCTCAGGATCCTTTAAATTATTCTACATTTTTCATTCACTGTATATAGGTTCCATTTTTAATAAAAATATGTGTCATCAGATAGAGATACAGTAGTACACTTTTAAATAGTTTTCTACCTTCCTAGCTGCACTAGAGAAGGTACTATTTTTCAGATAAGTACGCTGTAATATGTTCCTTTAAATTAAAAGTATGTAGTTTTTTTTTATCTTTTATTAGGGTTTTTGTTTGGGATTCTGAAGTTTTTTTCATGCAATCTTTAGACTAATAAGGCTTGGGTATAATGAAAATTTAATTGAAGAAGTATGTATGTAATAATTTTTCAGTGCTTAGCTCCACACTGATGAGGATGAGGATTGAATGTGACAAGTTCAGTTATGAAATTCGATTTCATATTTATTTTTTAATTTTATTGTACTGTCACGACTCTGGGGTGCGTGACAAAAATCTTAATTAACTCAAACAACCTAACTCTTCACTACTTTCAACAATAATCACTATCCAAATCATATCACAGTCAATCTTCAACTTAAAAACTACTAACTTATACCGGCCTTTATACCTACACCCGTAATCTATTCTTGCAAAATCCAGAATAAACGCGATATACCTTTTTCCCGAAGATTCGGGTCAGGCCACTGGCAGCAAATAGTGCAAGCTTCTCATCGTTCGGGTACACTAAGGGTACAGCACAGCCAAGTAAAGTGAAAAGAGATAACTCCAGAAGCACCACCTCGAGAGATGAAGTTCGAGGAGCGGGCTCATGCGCATTTTCTTTATTTCCAAAAGGCGGTAAAATTTAAGTTTTTTAATAATTCACTATGCTATTGATCCTACCGAAAAGAATTCAAAGAAGATATTTTATGCTTAGGGCTTGGTCACCTCCTGGGGTCCTGGTAGAAAAAATGGCATCGCTCCCCCTAAAATATCCGCAAAAACACATGTTCGGTTTGTGATGGGGATAAGCGCCCACGGCTCGCCGTGCTCCTGATCCGTTCGACTAAATCACTTTACTCTTTTCACTCTGTAATCACGTGGCTATGGAACAGCTCTCTATCTGTTCCAACTCCGTTTTGCCAAGCCGAACTCACCTTGAGTAGCAACCAATGAGCGAAAATTCAGCTAACTAAAATTCGTAAAAAATTACTCACGTACAACTATGGGAGAAGGAAAGACTAGTGGCCGTTTCACCAACTATTTTAGGGGAGCCTTAACGATAAGTATTCCTTAAAATGACAGTCTTCCAAGGAAAAATGTCAGTTTGAGGAATACTTAACCTTAGGGCTCCCCCAAATTAGTTGGTGGAAACGGCCAAGATCACCTAATGTCCCTCAAAAGTGAGAAGGACTTGGCCGACTCTGATGGACTATATAAAAAATAGAAAAATACGTATGGACACGGTAGAAAAATAAGTTAGGTACCTAGTAGAGCTTCAATCTGAATGGAATTTGTTACTGCATTTACATATTTAAGTATAACATTCCTACTAATCTAATTTTTTTTTAAAATCGATATCGGCAAATTAATCATAAGTTAATTATACGTTTTCTGTTTTTTATGCATTCTATAAAAGTTGATGAATTACCCACAAATAAATTACCTACCCCAAACTTTTTTTTGTGCTTTTTTAAAGTGAGTTGGGAGTTGGCTCATTATGACGTAACGGCCCCCCCAATTAGGCAATTCAAACCACGTGACTTTCAAGATGGCGTGGCGGCCACACATGGGCCAAAAAACAGAAAAAAATATCTAGAATCTGCTCGATTTATTAGTTTAGGTACCTAGTCAACAAATATTATTATTAAATAGTCCAAATCAAAGTTGCAAGCAAAACTCTAAGCAAAATAATTTGAAATACGCATAAAAACACATTCAAAACAAACTTGCTTGGCCGC